AGGTCCCTTCCAGCCCTAGTGTCTATGAAATCTATGAAGTCTATGTTACTGCTGGTTCAACTCAGGGCCTGAGCTTATATCTGTTCTAAGGCCTTCCCTGCTCCTGAGTCAGATAACTCTACAGTCAGCCCTATCCATACCTGCAGGCTGCTTCTCAGGCATGGTCCCTAATTGCCATCCTGCCACAACTGCAGCCTGCTTCAGCCACAGCCTGCCTGCTCTTAAAATAGCAGGAGCTCCAAGCCTCTTGCTACACCACTGCACTTTCAAGAAGCAGGCTCCTGCAGTTCACAACCTCAGGGGTGCGTGAAACCTCCAGGCCTGGGGGATTGTGGCTGCTGTGATCTCCCAAGATCAGGGGTTTCATGTACCTAGGAGCCTAGGAGATTGTGGCAGCCATGATCCTCTAGGCCTGGGGGTTTCACAGACCCCCAGGGCAGCTGCAGCTGGGTCCTGGCACTCAGTGTCCATGGGTGTGGGCAGGGCTGGATCAGTGCATAGGCAAACCAGGCACATGCCTATGGCTCTGAACTCTGGGGGGCCCTGGTTACATCTACCTTTCCCCCTCCCTTCTGTTGGCTTCATCGTAGCGGTGGCTGCTTCCTACTGGTGGCTCCAAGCCCCGCTCCCCCTGGGACCCGTGAGTTTGTTCACCTAAGGCTCACTAAAGGGTTAATCCTGCCCTGGATGTGGGACTCTGGGTCCCTGTTCTGCTGGGACCCAGATTCGGCAGCTGCTGGGGCTTAGAGTCCCCTCAGGTGCCCTGGCTGGGCAATGTGCATCCCTGTCAGGTCATGGGGCTCCCAGCCACCAGGGAGACCTCGCTACATGTCACGTGCAAATTAAAGCTTGATAGCAACCAGCTATAAAGTTAGTACATATTTTCAAGGTCTAACTTTATAGCTGGTTGCACCTTTTATGGCATAATAACTACTTTGCATGTGTAGTCGGTCTTAAAGTAATTGCACAGTTAACTACTTAATTATGCGATACCTGTAGTGTGCAGCAGGCGCCTAAATAGATCTAGTAAGTGGCATAGATTTCTTGAACCATGGGAAGGGGAAATGATCCAGTTCTGCCTTAAAACTGTGCTGCCAGAACATGTGCTGCCAATGCTGCCAGAACATCAGGCCATGTGAGTTTATGTACAAGTAAATGACGAGGAGAAATCACTGCTAGGACAGTTTCCAGTACTGGAATAAAGAAAAATTGCTTTAGCAGAATTAAAGTATGATGCAACAAAACAAAAAGCCCATCAAAGACCTGCTCCTGTTTTAATATCTATCTTATTCCTCAGGTGACAAACAGCTCAGCTTTAAAAATTTTTGTGGGGGATACAGCAGCAGCTGAGCACAGGTTTTCACTGCATTGACCATACTCAAGCTAAGGTTCCTTTTCTAATCTGATACAGCTAATTTAGATTTGTGAATATTTAAATTTTTCTCTTCCACATGTATTACTTTGAATTTATTAAAATTAAAGTTAATTTGCCATTGTGTTGTCCATTCACCTTTGCTTGATCAAGTCTCACTGAAGTTTCTTGCAATGCTCTCTGGCTTTGAATAACCTAAATAATGTTATCTGTGAATTACACTACCTCCGTGTTCATCTTCCCCTCTTGGAATAATAGATATTAACCAATATGTTAAAAACACTGACATTTTGTGTGCTCCCTTAGCTTTACCCAAACCTTAATTCTAAGTCTTCTAAGATACTGAAGCTGTATTTTCTTAGCTATTTTAAACTCTTGGTGGGAATGAGGTATATGCGTTTGGGTTTCTTTGTTTTTTATGATACTTCATATCACACGACTCTGAAGTGAAGCTAAAAAAGGGTTGGCTCACTCTCTCTTCTAAATACCTACAGATGTCACGCGATTGGTACCTACTGATACAGTTTTTTAAAGGTACAGTCTGTTCAAAAGCATTGTCAGTAATATATCTAAGTACTTAACCTTGACTAGTTTTGAGATGACCTTCTAAATTCCAATAAACAGTAGCTATACAACTGCTTTATTATATGATAGTAATACTAACTGTTATCAGTGATTATCTTGAACTTTATCCTTTTTTGATTTAATATAGTTAAGAGCAGATGAACTTGGAACTGGTCTGTGGGGGATACTGCTGTAACTTGCCCAGGTAGTAGTTACCTTTACATCATATACTTTTAGTTAATACTGATGTTTCTGCCATTTTCCATGCAATGTGGAGGAAAGAAAGAATAAATATTGAAAATTCATGTTTAAAAATGAGATTTTAGTTCTCACTATATAATTTTCAAGTTTCCCTTCAATTTGCAGTATGAGTACTTTCTTCTATGTAAGCTCACATTCATATCCTCTATTCCATTTCCAAGGACTAAAAGCAATGTCTATTATAAACTTTTATTTCTATTTTTTATTTTCTTTATGAATCTCTCCTTATATATATTAACTAAAAGAAACTAAATTAGAATGTTAGCCTTTCATACCCCTTTTGAACTTGTTTTGTTTAGTTGTAAAGAGTTCAAGATTTGTTAAGCCATGTATTTTTGAGGATATAGGGCTGCATGAGTTGGTAGGAAGTCAAGGAAGTCAATAGAGCAATGACAGTTAACAGACTGCCAGTCTGACCCCTGATTCTGATCTTATTGCCAACAGTGTATTGGTTTCTCTGCTTGCAGCAGTGTGTGATCAGAATTAGATGTGAAACATAGATTCATAGATGTTAGGGGCTGGAAGGGACCTTATAAGATCATCGGGTCCAGCCCCCCTGCACTTGGGCAAGAAAGACTGCTGGGTTCAGATGACACTGAAAGCATTGCATGCTTTCTCTTCTCTAATATTGTTCTCCAAGTTTATTTCCTGGAGATGAGTTTTATATGTATAATGTAAGCCTTTTCTCTATACTACTAACCTTAGATTTATAAATGTGTGTACTTTTCAGAAGAGGTACAATCAAGTTAAAATATTTCTTTTTTTAGCATTTTCTTGGCAAGTACTAGATATAGTTATTTAAATCACTATAAGCATTTTGCTTTCACTGTTAACTTTTATTCAGGGACTACAAAGACAGGCTTTGTGAATGTATAGAGGAAACAGATTTCTGGGAAAATAATCTTAATGTATTAGTCATAAACAGGGATTATCCAATTGCACCTGGTCTGACATAGTCAGACATTTGGGTGTGTAAAAAGGACACATTAATGACTCATTGCCAGAAAAGAATTGCAAAATCTAAAGGGAATGGTTACATGAGATTGTGAATTCAAGACTATATATATATATATATATATATATGTGTGTGTGTGTGTGTGTGTATAGAGAGAGAGAGAGAGAGAGAGCGAGAGAGAGAGGTGTTTCATTTTAATCACGGAAAAATTTGGATTTGGCGTTACTTTTTTTAAACCAAAAATTGGGGATTTTTTTTTTAACCAGAGAAAACTAGGATCCCTGGTGATATCTTATATTGGACCAACTGCATGGTTGGGATAGACTTAAGACAAGCTTTCAGATGTACTTGAAAGCTTGTCTAAATGTACTGCTTCACACAGTTGATCCAATATAGGATATCATCCACAACAACCCTTGTTTCTTGCATAAGTGGATTATCCAAGTTGAACAGGTGAAATTTGTGTGTGTAGCCATTTAAACACAAACCTTGAATTTACAGATCTACGAGGGTTTTATTTTGCATGTGATCAACTGCTGTTGGTACATATCACAAAAATGACTGGAAGCATCCCTTTATCTCTATCTGTAGATTATATGTGTTGTTTGTACCAGTGGCCAATAGCATATGCTTCCAAGGCAGTGATTGAAGTAGCAAAGGATTCAAATAGATGGGAAAAAATTCTGGCATTTAAAAAAAAATAGTGAGTCTTTTTTGGATATGGGAAAAATCTGGTAAAGGGAAAAGCAGACCATAAGCTCTCTTAACCCACAGAAATCATATGGAAAAATCTAGGTAAAGTAAACAAACAAAAAAGAAAGAATCCTCACAATCTTCTAGCTTTAAGAAAATGATCACTTAGGTTAAATATGAAATGCAGGGCAGGTAAGATGTTCCTTTAGTGGCGATACTATTTCAAAAGCACATATAAATATTGAATACCAATTTGTAAGTACAGGAATTTGAAATAAGTACAGTCCAAGTAATACTCACTCTGCAAGGGAGAGAAAGAAAAACTTAAATGAGAAATGAAAAACTGGCTCATTTTGTAACAGTTCCAAGAGAATAATTCCAGAGGGCTGAATAGATGGATACAAGAAGTACAGGCCACTCTAGACATAACCACTCATTAGACTGTAGAGATAAAATTGCTACATAGGATGGGATTCTGTATAAAGGATATCATGTCATAACAAGGCAATTTCCATTTAAGGATTGAGGAAATGTAAGAAAATAGCCATAGATACTGTATTCTTGCTGAGTATAATGCTGCTAGCAAAGATGAGCTAGGCAAATGTGAAATATTCAGTAAATACAGGAAACAAGTGAAAAAGGACCACCAAAACTGTATGAGAATTCCAATTGTTACTGGTTCAAGATTGGCATGGATATTTATTATTTAAATAGGAAGGGCTAGCTCTTATTAACAGGGATCCTGGTTTTCTCTGCTAAAAAAGAAATCCCCAATTTCATGGTGTTTCATTTTAATCACAGAAAAATGTGGATTTTGGGTTAGTTTTTTTAATCTGAAACTTGGGAATTTTTTTTTTTATCAGAGAAAACCAGTTTGCAGTTGATACCAAATTATGGGGCAAAGTTAACACACTGGAAGGCAGGGAGCACATACAGGCAGACCTGGGCAGGTTGGATCAATGGGCAGAGCAGAATAGGATGCAATTCAACAAAGATAAATGTAAGGAAGGAGGAATCCCCAGCACAATTACAGGTTGGGGGATGACCTCCTCAGCAGCTTAGAGGCTGAGAGAGATCTTGGAGTCATAGCTGACTCCAAGATGAACAAGACCCGGCAGTGTAAGAAGGGCATCAACAAAGCCAATCACACCTTGTCATGTATTAGCAGATGCATGACCAACAGATCAAGAGAGGTGATGCTCCCCCTCTATGAGGTGTTGGTCAGGCCTCAGTTGGAGTATTGTGTCCAGTTTTGGATGCCACACTTCAAGAGGGACATGGAGGATCTGCAGAGGGTTCAGAGGAGGGCCACTTGCATGATTAGTGGCCTCCGTGAAAGACCCTACGAGGGGAGGTTGGGAGATCTGGATCTCTTCATCCTTTACAAAAGATGGCTGAGGGGAGGCCTTGTAGCTGCCTATAAGTTTATCAGGGGAGGACAGCAGGGAATTGGGGATGAGCTGTTTACCAGAGTGCTCCAGGGAGTAACTAAGAATAATGGGTGCAAACTAGTGGAGAGTAGATTTAGGTTAGATATTAGGAAGACATTTTTTACAATAAGGGTGGCCAAAGTCTGGAATGGGCTTCCAAGAGAGGTGGTACTATCACCTAACTTGGAGGTCTTCAAGAGGAGGCTTGATAGTCAACTGGCTGGGGTCATCTGACCTCGGTCCTCTTTCTTGCCAGGGGCAGGGGGTCGGACACAATGATCCTTTGTGGTCCCTTCCTACTCTACAATCTATGAATCAATGAACAATGGATAATGGCCCTCTATTTTTAAGTTACTCTTTTGGGTAATTATTTCAAGCCCTCCTCCCCAAGGTGATATTATGAGTAACTAAATCAGTTAGCAGGAAACTCAGTAGAGTAGGAAGGAAGTATTTTTTAAAAAACAGTCCTGTCAGTTTCAAAGGACCTGTATTTCTCTTTGTTAAATATTGAATCACACCTCACAATGATTTATTAGGATGGCTACCTCTAGGACTTATGGGCAGAAAGATAAAACTTCACTGCTGCTATCTTAAAAGCTGCTTGAGCTGAAGACAATTAGCTCAGCAAAAGTTACAAAAGAACAGGCCAGAAAACTAGAACAGGAAAATACTCTGACAAGAATGCTCATCCCTTTCTGAGGCAAGAGAAAATGTTAGATTTCAAAATGAAACTGGCTGACTTTTGCCAAGGAAAGTGCTGTCCTATCATAGCCATCCTCAAGGTCGTTCCAGCAGACAAGGAGGGCCATCTAAACAAAAACCAAGGATGACACCAGCTATATTCTTGAGGACACCCAGAAAGCTACTGACAGAAATAATACAATTTCTACCCTATTTTTGGCAATGAAAAATGTTGGGAACAGCTTTTAAATGGAGGATTCATCTCAAGAACTGAATAGATAAGATTGTTTAGAGGACAAGAAGTGGCTGTATGATGAGGAAGTTATTGGCATTCAGAGATAGCAGGTATTGATAGATGTCCTCAATACCAGAGGCAAAATAATCCTCCTGCATACCAAGAACATTCATCTTTCCCTGGAGCTCAAGTATCTAATTCTGTATTTTATTAGTTGATACAATAGCTTTGTTAATTTGCAGCTGCTGATTTTGTTCTATGATAAGTTTATTTTGTGTTTTATTTTAAAGAAAGAAAAATTAAGAATAGTTCCTGGAGCTGATCTCTTCTATGTGGTGGATACTTTTCTCCTAATATGATGAATCAAGGAATTGAGGCCAGAAAATAAAAATGTAGTTTCTTCCTAGTGGCCCTTGTATATAAGAATTGCAGTATGAGTAGCTCAGAGGAAAGAAGCACAGTCCTGGATTATTTGAAATCCTTTGCTTAGAAGACAGATAACATAATTGAGAGGTGAGGATGTAAGGAGAATGCTAGAAGCATGAAATGAAAATGCTGTTGTTCAACTGTGAATTACACTTCCATTATCCAGGGCTAACATTGTCAAACCTGAGTGCCTAAAGTTAGGCACCTAAATCCATATTTAAGTTTCTAAATATAAGTGGCCTGGTTTTGAGTGCCTGCATCTCTAAAAACATTGCTAAATGCCTCCCTGCTGCTCACAGAAGCCAATGGGAACGGTAGAGTACAGTGCCAATAAAAAACGGGTCATGTGCTTTAGGTGCATAACTATGGATTTAGGTCCTTAGCTTCAGATGGCCAAGTTTGAAAGTTTTGGCTTAATGATAGATTTATGAAGCAGATTAACAAACAGAAGAAACTAGCATTAGCATTATGTCTTTCACAGGCTTTTTGTTTAGGGGCTTGCAAAAGAATGCTAGCTCCCTTTC